TTCCCTTGTCCTCAGCTTTTGAGGGAAATGGAGCTTTTTACCACACACAACCTTTTCCACTTACATTATGGCTAAGAGATTCTGTGTTTTCGACATTTTTATGTATAGGTGTGAATGTTTGTGAATTAAAAAGGCATTACAGAATATTTATCATGAAATGGGGGCTTGCAGGTCTAGAAAGGATCCAAGACCATTAGCCTAAAAATGATGGCTAACTTTCCATACACTTTTTTTTTTTTTTTGAGACAGGGGATAGGGTTTCTCCGTGTAGCTTTGTAGAACAGGCTGGCCTCAAACTCACAGAGATCTGCCTACCTTTGCCTCCCAAGTGCTGGGATCAAAGGTGTACATCAACATGGCCCGGCTTCCACACAAGTTTTAAGGGAAAAATACTTTTACTTACTCCTGAAGTTGCTTAAATTGTATTTTCTACATCAATGTGACTTTGAAGGAATACAGCCCTCTGCACCATTCACAGAGGGGAACTAGTACATCTAGGACCCCTCCTGCCCCCCTGGACAAGCAGGGCAGCTGCTGGGCTCTGCATTCATGCTCCCTTTCTTCTCTGTAGCTGGCTCTACTCACACAGCCCATTAGCCTGAGAGTCAGTGGTTCATCTTGATCTCTTGTTTTGGCCATCCAAGCTCTTAGCCTCCAGACCACCTCTCCCCCACGCACCTCCCCAGTGTCCTACCTGTCTGTGAGCTCAGCACCCACATTCTCTGATGAGGAGGCTCCAGGACAGCTCTCTTGGAACTTCTACTTAAGAGGCCCATATGTAGTACTGACTCCTAAAATAGATCTCTTGCCCAGACTGCCTGTTTCAGATTTTAACAGCTTTTAAAACCCAATACATCGCCAGATCCCCTTCAGGCTGATTTCTCCCCACTCTCCTCAATTTCAGTGAACTGTAGCACTAGTCTATTCCCGGAGGGACAGGCCAGGACACTCTGAGCCATCCTTCATTCCTTGTCTTCATCCTCACAGCTGATTCACCATCAGGTGGTATCAGCGCAGTGCTGACAACATCCTGTACTGCTGTGTTTCCAGAGGGCTCTGGCAGGCAACTCATGCTCTGAGCCCACACCAGGCTGTTCCTCACTAAGTAACCAACACACTAGTCCCAGAGCCCCCCACTCAATGCCCAGGGGCTTCCCAGAAGAAAAGAGGCCCCATAGGGATGCCTCTAGCATGGAGGGTAAAGTGACTTCCAGTCCTACTGAGAACACTATGAAGAAGAGAGGTCTAATACCATCCATTAGGGATACACTTGGCCTTAGATGTCCTGTGCTGGGAGTAGTGCACAGCCCTGGGTTCATCAATTCAAGTCTTCACTTTGTTATTCTTGCTGAACCTTTGTCAACAGCAGAGCTTGGGGATTTAAGTGATGACATTATCCCATGCACTCAGTCCTCAGGGTAAGAGTGGAAAGTCTGTGGCTACCTCACCCTTCAGCAGGCCCTGTGCTGCCCTCCACAGCTAGATCAGAGCTGCCAACATGAACAGAATCCTAACAACTCCCTGGAGTCTGCTGTATGGCTCCCTCTCTTCTGCTTCTCTTATTGGGGTAGGGCTCGTTAGGAATTTTAATTGGGCTTGTGCTGAATCTATGGATCAAGTTGAGAAGAAATAATGTTTTAGCAATGGAGATTTTCCCAGTTTGAGAATTCATATCTTCAGTTATTAGCTTCTCTTTAATCCTTGCTATAAAATTTTAGTTTTCAGCGTTTATCATAAAAGTTTCCTTAATTTTTCTTTAATTGTCGACATATTTCAGGTCATGGTAGAAATACAATCTATCATATAATTGAACAACTATTTAGTTGCATTCCAACTAAACCTTTCCCCCAACTTGCATCTGCATATTCATGTGGAACCAAGGATCATACAGGGTTTTTTTTAAGCCTGTTTTCTCTACATCTAAGGACAGAATTCCTTTGGCATTCACCTATCCTTTTCCATAGACCACCTATGCATTCTACAGGTTGTTTGAGAGGCAAAAGGTCTTTAAACTGTTGTATTAACATTTCATATATCTGTGAATTTTTGTATGAACAAAGTATGGAGTTGGTAGTGGGATTCAGATAGAGATTTTCTTGAGTAAACTTATTCTACACTGAGTAGTGAAGGAGTTGGTAGTGGGATTCAGATAGAGATTTTATTGAGTAAACTTATTCTACACTGAGTAGTGAAGGAAGCAGATATGAATGAAAAGTTCATAAGCATCAATCACTGCAGAGACAATGGAAGAAAGAAATAGAGCCAAACTAATAGATCAGCCCGTCAACCAATCAGATATGAAGAGGATATGGGTGGAAAACTAAATCATGGACACCTCCAGATGATGTAGCCCTGACTATGGGCAATGTCAATGATGTGGTTTGGATGTTAAGTATCCAAAAGACCATTTGTTAAAAGCTTGGCCCCCAGATTGATGCTATTGGGAGAAGGGAGGAACTTTCAGAAAATGGAGTCTAGTGGAAGGAAGGAAAGAAGAAAGGAAGGGAGGGGAAGAAAGGAAAGGGGAGGGGGAAGGGAAGGTAAGGAAGGGAAGTCACTGAGGGTCTGCTCCTTGAGGATTGTAGAATTCTAGCTTGACACTTGCTCTGATTCCTGATTACAGATGTAACTGAATCACTCCTATTTACAACCTTGCTATCGTGCACCACCACCTACCCCCTCCCTGGAATGTGTTGATGGAGCACCTTGCACTCAAACCTTCAAAACTATGCTAGTTTCTGCAGGCATTTTATAATTATAATGCCAGGATGGCTAACACATCCACCTTCTACATTCTTGCTAACTGTTCTTTCACAGGGAACTCATACCCTACATGAGCAACTGGTGAAAATGAAAGTCTAGAAGCCACTAGTATTGCAGGTCTGTTAGAAACTACTCCACTGTTCTTGGGCCAACTCTAGGTAGATATTTCTACCAGAATTATGAGGGTTTCTGCTTGATATTCTTCCTGAAAAATTCAAAGGCACATTTTTCTAGTCTGTTTATCAGCGAAAAATACAGTTAATGAGGGTGTAGAGGGACCAGTCTCTCCTTCATCTTCTTCTCAAGTAACTAAGCAGCTGCCTTTGGTCACCCACACTAATAGTCTTCACTCTTCTATTATCAAGGTCCCTTTTGAGAAATTAATAGAAGAGATCCCCTTGCCATCTTCTGAAGCCAGAGACTGACTCTTGCTAGGTGAGATACCCCTCTTTTGCACCCAGCAAAAGTTTATCATATTTTATCCTGTCTAGTGAAGAAAATAGGAAACCCTGATAGGTCATCCCAGTTGGTTATGTCTTATGAGCAGGTTTGTTTTTCATCTGTAGGATATACCAAATGGCCCAGGTCCCAGAGGATGTCAATCTCGTGGGCTTCTCAGGGCAGGTGGCTTAATGCTAGAAGGATATGAGTGAGAAAGTTCACTTCAGGCTCTGGGATGGCCTCAGACACCAGGAACATAGTCGAATCTATTGTGGGATGACTGACAACTTAATATTTAAGCCATGTGTTTCATGAGCTGAGGTGAAAGTGATGGCAGCTTCATGAGAGGTTGAAAGCTGAGAGCGAAGGCCAGCAATCTTGCTCTTTTGGCCTGGCTCAGGATGCTATGGGTGATGCTTTTGGATTCTAAGACACAGAACCTGGAATAGGACAACATGTGGGTGATAATGCTTATGGGCCTCAGAGAGAATGTAGCCATGACAACTTGGTAGTCTTTTTCAGGCCAAGACACCAATAATCCCTTAATGGACCTGAACTTGACAAGAAATATGACAGAGTACGTATTTCCTTCTTGGATGGAGAGAGACACCATTTATTGCACCAAGTGAGGCTCACTAGGAGTCTTAGTATTCAGGGCCCCTATGTGTCCTGTGGTTGAAAGGAAGAAGCAGTGTTTATGAATACGGTATGGACTATCCTAAAGTGACCCAAAGGTTGTCTCTGCTCTTTCTGGAAAATATCCAGCAGAGCCCCCACCAAGGACACATCCTTGTGAACAGCTCCATGTGACAGCGAACACAGCAGCTCCTTCCCTTAATAACTGTGTAGTTGATTCTGGATACACTGTCAAAATTTAAACATGATATAGCTGGAGACTTGTCTTTTTGTCCTGTTTTTGACTCGACCCCTGCTGTCCTGTGCTGCATCTGGAGAAGCTGGTGAAGAGGTGGGGAGGAAGCTTGGAATACTGGTTAAGGTTTCAGAACTAAGTATGATTCTCCAGCCTTGTTCCTTTCACCACTCTCCAAGATATATTAGGGCAGTTGTTGTTACAGCTGCCCTCTGAAGTAGCTGCCAGTCACGGGCCAGTGAATATCAGAGATTCTGGCCTTCTATGAAGGTCAAGGACTGTAGGCACGACTTCTACTAGTCTGCTAGGCTGTCATCTGGGACAGTGGGCAGGGCTGGTGATGAAGAATGACAGGTAGTCAGCTTTGTCATTCCCACCTCAGTCAGACAGTGCTAGCTTTGTCTTTTTTTGATGAGGTGCTGTTTGCAAGAAGTGACAGGGAAATCTATAGGCAACTGGTCTTCCTGTGCAATGTATCTGAGCATGTGTCCATGGCATGGAGTGCTGGGCCCTGAGCGAACGTAGCCCAGCCTAGACTTCTCACAATCACTTGTTCTGCAGGACACATGAAATGGGAGAGGGGCCTATCAGGGACCTTCTTAGATCTGGGGGGCTGGGCCAGGAGAAGTTTGGCTTGCCAAGTTGTGGACAATAGGAAGGGAAGGGTTGTGGCTTAGCTCATGGAGAGCCCACAGCTGAGCTCTTGGAGGAATTTACTTCCTGTTTATCCCAGTCATAGACAAGACTGTGAGGGAAGGTTTTGTTTCAAGGAGTTGGCCTGGTTCATCTCTTGGTCAGTGTAGTGTTTAGAGCGCTCTTCAGAGAAGGGATGGCCCTTCACTGGTAAGTTCTCCCTTCACATCCCTTGTCCTGTGGACGCATGCCCATCCCCATCCCATCAGACAGCTTGTTCTCAGAGGCTTACCTTGGGTTTGAAGGCAATGAGCTTCAGGATCATCTCCACCGTGAAGAGGCCAGTGAAAAGCATGTTGAGTATATTCATGGCAATTTTGAAGAGGCAGCTCTGGCCATAATGCTAAGTGGAGGGAAGAGGAAGACTGTGAACATGAGACTGAAGTCCTCTGGCTCTTTATCACCTCTGTTCAGCTTTCTCAGATGTCCCCATGTCTAGCGAGATCTTCCTTGAGCCATCCTTAGAAGGCTGCCCACTATGCCTTGGGCAGCCAGGTGGACTCTGGGGACATTGCAAGCTCTTGCCTTTCCTATCATCTCTGATAACAGATAGTATAGATCTGAGTTCCTGATGACTGGGCAGGATGACTTCTGGATGCTTCTGGTACTTGAGAACCCTGGCACAAACTGACTTTCTTGTAGGTGGGGTGTTGAATCCATGTCTACATCCCATGCCTTATGATGACTCCAGGCTTATTCCCTTGGTTCTCTACCTCCTCAATTTGTCATAAACCCAGGGCCCCAGGGATTCTTCCATACAGTTTCAGAGGAACCCCATCTCTTAGAAGGGATACTTGTCTTTCTCTCACTCTTCTGTCTCTCTGACTTTCCCAACTGTAGGCATGAACCACTTGACCTGGCCTTGAGGCTCCTTCTACTACATCCTTCCCCAGCATTTCCCCTAGTCTATCACCCCAGCCATAGACTAACCTGCATGGCCAGGCAGATGGTGTTGAGCAGGATAAGGACGAACATCAGATACTCGAAGTAGGTAGAGTTGACCACGTACCACACTTTATACTGGTGCTGGTTCTTGGGGATGTATCTTCGTAAGGGTCGGGCCTTGAGGGCATATTCCACACATTGTCTCTGGAAGAAAAGAAGGAAGAGTGAGGGCCCATGGAGGAAGAGTGGGCATGATGATGTGTGTGTGAGAATAAAAGGTAGGATGCATGTGAATCTACAACCTGTGTTCTCGGGCTCTACTCACAAATGTGGCATGCAATGTGAAGCATGCTTTTGATTTCTCTGGCATCCCTTAACAAGGACAGAGGTTCAAGGACAGAGACTCCTTCCATCAAATCTTATCCAGATTGTAAGCAATGAGCTCAACTCCTTTTCTCCAACTGGTTATGACTGGTGCATTGCTCAGCAATTGTTTGCTGATTGGCTTATAGTTATCATTGGTTATGTCCCACACCAGATTCTTCATGGGATATCTCTTGCCTAATTTGTTTTTTCTATACAAAGCCCTTCTTTCTTATTGTCGAGTATCTACAAAATCAGAAGACAACTGTCAAGAAAGGAACTCTTGTTCTAACCAGAGTCTTGGGAATACAGAAAATGTCAGGCAATCTCTATGCACAGCACCTAAAACTCTAAATCAGGAAGCAGAGAGCCATTCCAGCCTGCTTGACCCTTGACCTCCATGCTTAATCCCCCAGCCTTGCCAATCTAACCTCCTGCTTTTATATCTTTACTACAATTAACTGCTGTTAGGCCAGGTTCTCCACACGCCTCATCTACACTTCCCAGCTGCCTTCCCTCCTTGTCTTTCTTTTAACTCTAAGTCTAAATGCTGAATCTAAGCTGACAAAGGGTCCAGTTTTCCTGCCATGCATAGAGCTGTGCATACAGGGCCATGTCCTTATGAGGTGGCTTTATTCAGAGCATGTTTCCATTGGGAGGGCAAAGGAAGCTGAGGTTCTATACCCATGTCCATCCCTAAGAGTGCATTACTCACCAAGGGAGCTGCCAGCCCTTTCCCATAAGCTAACAGAACATAGTCTAGACCTTGGTGTCACCATGTCAACCCATGCTCAGATCTCTGTTTTGCTTGAGAAGCCATCTAAGAGTTTTCCTAAGACCTTTCTCTTGGCCACCCCAAACTCTCTCTTTCCCATTGTTCTAGTTCTTCTCTCCTTTGTCAATGGTCCTAACACATCTGGAGAATAACTTTCCAAGTTTTGGATATGACATAAGCTTCTTTTTTCCATGTTGCCTGAAACAAAGTATTGCTAAGCAGAAGCTTGACAAATATTTACTGATTGAGCACATTTTCCAGACCTGGGATTTGTGAGGATTTAATGTCTGTCAGGTTTGAGAAATGCCACAGGAATCTGGAACAAAACCCTGTGCTGCTGGATGACAGGACAGAGGACCTCGGTATCCACACACGCCTCTCCAAACACCCTAGGCTCTCCTGTGAGTGGGTCTTCCCCCCATTTCCTCCTCTTCTTCCCAGAGAGCTACCTGGTTCTTGTCCAGCTCACAGTTCTTGTACTCTTGCTCCCCCTGCTCCTGGAAGGTGACGATGACGAAACCCACGAAGATGTTCATCATGAAGAAGGCAATGATGATGATGTAGATGATGAAGAAGATGGAGATCTCCACGCGGTAGTTGTAGATGGGGCCCTTGTCTTCTGTGTGCGAGTCGATGGAGCGGTACAGCAGCCTACAGGAGGAGACAGGCTCACAGAGTGAACTGGAGAAGCAGTGTCACCTCCATGAGATGATGGCACCCACTGCTCCCAGGGATCCCTGCAATCAAAGGAAACAGCTCCAGGCTGGGGCCAGAGGGTCTGGGCTCAAGTCCCATCCAGGTAAACCAATGAATCTCTTTGGCACTGTATCCACAACTGTCAAGTGGAAATGGTAATTCCCTACTTTCCTATCTTACAGAGCAGCTGACATAATATATACACAGTATTTTGAAACTGTCAAGAGCTGTTGAACTGCAACATTCATCATTGACATCAATTTCAAATACAGAAATACTTGTAAATATTGAAACAGCTTTGTGAACTGGCATGGACTAAAGGAGGTGAGGTCAAACACAAAAGTAAATCTGAGAAAAAAATCATTTAGATAAAGTAAAACTGGCATGACTCTAGATTAGTCACATCATTTACACTGGTAAATTACACTTATGTATATACGTAAGAGTGCCATTCATTTCAGTCTGGGATATGGGACTATCTTCATGGACCAGGATGACTTCCTCCTCTTCTATTGTGATTTCCCTAGTATACGGGTATTCTCTTATATATCGCTTACAAGTTGCCACATAACAATGGCAAGACCCATCTATATACTGTTGGATGGAGACATAGGTGTTTCAGCCAACATACAAAGGATACTAGACGGACCAGACTGCTACCAGCAATGGTGTGTGAAGACCAATGAGCTGGTCTAGTAGGGAAAATATCACATCTGCAGAGGGACTGGGCCCCTGGCTTTTGTCTCTTTATTACTCTCGACAGTATCAATTTAGACAAGGCTTTTTCTGAAGAGACTACTACAGGATCTAACCAGACCTTCTCAGCTACCTTCACCCATGTCAGATGCATGTGGGGAGTGGTAAACTGGAACTCCATGGTGATCAAAGGTTTACACTGGAGAAATTCTCTCTGTATTTGACTCTGAAATGCCATAAAGAAAATGCAGGGATTCCCAATCTTGCGACTCACACTGAGCTTGGGAAAGGGAGTTAAAAAGGTATCCATTTTTTTTTGGTTGGGATTTCTAAAATGCTGCAGATGTACTGAGTGGAACAGCACTTGTATAACATGCACATGATCCTCAGTGAAATCCTCAGCATCTTCCATCCCTAACAATGTCTTTTATAAGATTTTGATTTTGTTTTTGACACAGGGTCTGGCTGGTCTGGAACTCACTACATTGACTAGGCTAGCCTCAAACTCACAAAGATCTGCCTGCCTCTGGCTCCCCGGTTCTGGGATTAAAGGCATGCACCACCATGCCCAGCTAAAACTCTGTGTTTCTGTAGTGATCAAGTTCTACAGAAGTTCTAGAACCAATCTCACTGCCTGGGGACAATACAAACCTGACCTCTGGGAATAATTCAGAGAATGTATAAGACCTTGGATAATAATCGGACAGCTAGTGTCTTGACTCTCTAATGTCATGGTTGTGAGCCTTGATATGCATACTCACTCTGGCCACCCCTCAAAGGTGGAGACGGTGAAGAGGGCCATCATGGCTGCCAGGACATTGTCAAAGTCGAACTTGCTGTTCTCCCAGCTTCGAGGTTGGATAATGGGGTGGTCCACCTCTCCATCTTTGTATGTGATATAGTTACCCCTGAGAAAGGAAGAGAAAGGCAATCACAGGATGTCCCATATCTCTACCATCAATGATTCCTGGCCCGCTGGATAGGATGCAACCACATTATCCCAGCCATCAGAAGAATCAGGGGCTTGGACTCTGAAAGTCACATTTCACAAAAATGAGGTCAGGTAATGAGATGGGTGAGATGACACACATCACTTCTTTCTAACCAAGTCACCAACCTCCCCCGAGTTAACCAGGCTTGGCTTTGGGAGCCTGCTAGCTTAAACTCACTTGCATTCTGCCTCCGTCTGTTTGGAACTATCCGAACAGGTATAGAGCTTTCCCTAGAAGAGAAGAAGGGAGTGATTAGAGATACTCCCAAGGGATGGACCCAGCAGAAGATGATCATGATTATGTATGTAGCACAGTCCTGAGTTTGAGCCTGGGTGGTGTAGTGTGGGCATGATGCTGTTACTAGTAAATAATGTTGTGAGCTTTAAGTCAAGGACTGACAGATAGGTACCAGAGGGTAAAAGCTGTCTGGGAAGAAGGTCAGCTAACTGAAGGGTGGCACAGAGGCCTTTAGCTGGGAGAGGGAGAGCCGATTTCCCTTTACTCGTTTGGTCTGGAAAGCTCAAGTCAGCTGTGGTCAGAGGCCACACTGCCTCAGGTCTGAAAGGTTGTGGTCTGAGGTCACATGGTTCTATACACATGACCTAGACTGCTATCCCCTCTTGGATCTGTTGGCTCCCTTCCCTGGGAATGCTGATGAGAGGGAAAGGAGGCAGGACCTTACCTTGAAGAGCTGGACCCCAATGCAAGCGAACATGAACTGCAGCAGAGTGGTGACAATTACAATGTTGCCAATGGTCCTGATGGCCACAAACACACACTGAACCACGTGCTGCAAAGGAAGAAGGAATGGGAAGGGGATAAGGTTTCAGCTTAAGCAGCCTGGAGCCATTCCCTGGGTCCCTCCACACAGGCAGGGTGGGCTCATCCTATGCAGGCTCCCAGAGGCCAGCTGACTTTCCAGTCATGCTGATGAACTCAGAATACAAAGGGCTCTTTGGACTCTGTGATGACAGAGATACAAGCCCTTTAAAACTCCTATCTGAGTGGTGGAAAGACCAAGCAATGTTACCTAAAAAAAAAAAAAAAAAAAAAAAAAAAAAGGCTTGTCCCTTGCCTTAACCCTACATTTGAATCAATTCAGTTGTCCTGAAGGCAGCCCTATAATTGCCCTGTAGATAGATGGCAGATGCCTTCTAGGAACCAGTAACTAACTACCTACACAAATCCTAATGCTGGACCACGAAGGCCAATGCTTTCCTTAGCGTTTTGGCCTTTCGCTGTCTATAGAGAATGAATAAAATTCTTTGCTTATTCTGTCTTGGGGAAAATCTTGGCACTCTGTGATCTTGGCTGTGATTTCCACCTAACCTTGTGGTAGCCCAGGAGACCCTTCTTTGATTTCCTTGTTCCCTTTCCGCTCTGGAGCCTATAGTAATTGACTGATTCCATGGACAACTGAAGATCTCTGAGTGGGAATAATCTTCAATGATATTCAAAGGCCTGCAGGGTAGGTGACACTGGATGGTCAGCATCGGTTCTTTTGGTTCCCTGTGGAAGGCCTTATTTCACATTTTCAGCTGACAGATTGTAACTAAAGCTATTCTTTGGTGGATCGCTAAGGCAGTAAGGAAAAGAACAGTCGCTATGGTCTGTAAGGGCGAGGAGCTGATTCTTCCTTCTGGGAATCTCTTTGGGCTCCCTTTTCTTATCTCCCTCACTGCTCTTCTCTATACTTTGAATGCTAAAGAACTCAATGGACCTCCTAGCTGCTGCTGATCATCTTCATGAATACTGTAAGTTAAAAGGGGGGATATTAGGCGACAACTCTGTCTCTGTTGGTGGGAGAGAAGACTTCACTGTTTCAGATGGGACGTCCCTTTTTATCCCTCACTGGTGTGCCCTTGTACAAGGTCTATCCATTCCTTCAGCTCGTCAGAGACAGCTCTGAGAGCCTCTTCAGGAAAGACTCTGATGGAGCAGGGCTACTCCGTGTTCTCCTTTTACCAGCCAGCGTTTACCCCTCTCCTTGTGGTACTGGGGAAGGCTTCATTTGCCTTATCCTGCCCATTTCAATCCTCACAATCATTTTTCCTTTATGTGATGGTTGATGTTAATTATCACTTCACAGGATCTGGAATCACCTAGGAGACATCCTTCAGGTACACTTATAGGGATTATTTAGCTTCTGGGCATGCTGATTATGGTTAATTGACCTGGGAAACCCTACACTAAAATCCCAGCAGCAGCATTCCCTGGGCTTGGGTAGGTCTGCATAGAACGGAGAAAGCATTCTTCACTTCCTGATTTCTTATTGTCATGTGACCAGCAGCTTCAAGTTCCTGATGGCTGACTTTGCTGCCAGTACAGAACTTGTTCATAATTCAAGCACTGTACTGTTGAACTGTGAACTGAAGTAAATACTTTATCCTTCAATCTACTTTAGTCAAAGTACTTATTTTACCACAGCAATAGGAAAAGAAGCTAAGGCAACATAGGTGTTAGCATGGGAAATGCTCAACCAATCCCTTTAAATAACCCCCTTTGGGTTGTCTACTCTTCTTCGTAGCACAAGGACACAAAACATGTGGCTAAAATGTTGATATCTGTGCCTGTGGTTTTCCTTCCTGGTCTGTTCTGAAAGACCTACAGGATGCCAGACTTTTAAAGTCTCTCCAGGATGAAGAATTTCCCTTCTTCTGAAGTCTGATGAATCTTAATTTTGTGACTCACTCCTGGGACCGTTATCTCCACTGCTGGACCAAAACTTCTGCCCACTCAGTGGCATGTTATGGCTTCTCTATACTTGCCCCCACTAGTCATGCCTGCAGTCTCACCTGCTTTGGTTTCCTCCTGTGACCGTTCACTCTCCCATCCATCTTCCTTTCCCCCTCATCTGAAGCGGAGGTCTTTCTAAATGCCCAGGCTCACTGTCCAGATGAACTCTGTTACACATTTGCTTGGGAACTTCATACAGGAAATTCAATAAACAAAATTGTCCCCTCTTAATGGAACATCTCCTATGAATTCTAACTGGATTACCCCATTTACCTAAGTAATACAGACTTCACTGCCTTTTATCATCACTGGGCCCCTTTCATTGTTTTAAGTGAAGTTCCGTATCTTTGAGATATAAATTTCTTACCTGGTTTCTACTAAAATGCACACTTGTCTGTGTTATGTCTGTTTCTGGTAATTATTTTCATGCAATTGTCTTTATGTGTCACTTTGTGTCTCAAGGTAAAATCTGTGGTTACTCCATTTATATAGCATTCAAGAAGTGCTATTAGCAAGTGCTATTCTTGGTATATGCTTAGTTTTAAACTTATATGTATGTATAGAAATGTAAACATTTTAAAATTATTTTTAACTGCTGCTGACACTTGAAAAACATATTTCAAAGTCTTTATCTAACCAAGCCTAGGTACAAGACAATACTAAAACTATGAAGAACAAAACAAAACAAAACAAAACTGTCATTTAAAAAACGTATTAACCTACTTAAAGGTAGACAATGGCATCTTAAGATTTACAGATGATCCTAATATGTTCCATTACAACATAAATGTAATTTTTCTTTTGCATTATTTTTAGCGCAGTAACTTACTGTGCCTTCTGGTTTAAAAAAGGAGAAAATACAAGAAAAGAAGGAGAAAATACTTTAAATAAAACGCTTGTTAAATGATTAAAATCTTAACTATAAAGATAAAAAAATGGTCCAAAGCAAAGGTGATAAAAAGGATAGAGACAAAATGCCTCACTCTGATTCTGCCTTCCAGTTGCCATGTAGACCTAAATGACAAACCAATGCTTTTTATGCAGAGACAATTTCTAAATGCTTATTATAAGAAGGCTTAAATCTTTAACAAATAATTTAAGGTTGTTGAGGAAAATGTCTCCAGAACTGTTCACATGTTGTGTTTCAACTTCCTGTGTCTTCCTTTAAATTTCCATATAAATCAAGGCACATTCAAGTACATTGGTGGAAACAATGTACTTGATGGATTATAGCAAAGTGGAAAAATCTCTGTCATAGGCCTTTGATGTCATCTGATAGCATTCTTAGTCATGGGTTGGTGAAAATTTGGGATCTGTTTGTTGTTACCAGCAGTGTTCCTATCTCTGTAGAGGACAAAGGTGAAGGGTTGTTTGGTTTTTGGTTGGTTGATTCCAGTAACATTCATATCATTATTTGTACCAGTGGGCTAGTCCTGCCAGGGAAGTCATTATTTTACCTCATAGGGGTCACAGTTTGGAAAGATCAGTGATCATTTCTCTCATTTGGTAGCATCTATAGCACTTTCCAGAACCATGAAAGCTAGCCAGTAGGGACAAAGCTCCCAGGTCAGTTTGATTTTTCCATGTTCTATGATTCAAGTATGTGGTACCTTCAACAGTAGGGTCTTACCATCAAGTTCATGAGAGTGACTAAGATTAATGGCAATAGCCTATACTGTTTGGGGGTTTGTGGGACCCCACTGGACAACAAGTCCAAAAGAGGTAACCTATTCTGGGTACTAGATTCTTCATTTGCTATCCTGTGGTGTCAAGTAAGAGCACTGTGCCTGCCCCTGATATAGGGTAACTCCATTTAAACTGTTCCCGCATGTGTATATTATGTATTTAAGGATCTTCTACAGCAGTGGGTTTCCATATGACCTTTTCAAAAGGTCTTCTTTAGTGTTAGTTCTCCCTTTCCCATAATTCCTCCTCGACCCTGCAAATGCCCCTACCCCACTTGATCACTTCTATTCCCATAACACATACTTTCCAAGGCTCAGGAATGAACCTAGAAGAGGGGTAGAACACTCAAGAGTGAGAGGCAGTGGATGACTGCAATGAAACTGTTTTATGGTCACAACAGGACAGTTGCACACATTAACTTACAGCAGTTGTGACAACATGCCCAAGACGGCAAAGGTTCAAGCCAGAAACACTCCAGCATGGAGAAGAGAGGTTGGCACAAGGTCCTGCCTCTAGCTGAAGAACTGTTGGCAATGATAGCTGATGGCAGAAGGAGAGTCCATTTTCTTTAAGGGTATGATTCATGTGAATCAACCATGATCCAGGGAATGGCCTCCCACCCAAGAATATTTTGGCAGCACAAATTAGATTCAATGGGTTAAAGAAAAAAAGAGGACATGAGTTGGTTGGGCAGGGAGGTAGAGGTGGATCTAGGAGAAATAAGGGGAGCAAGGATGACTAGGACCAAAATATATTGCATAAGATTCTCAAAGATCTAATAAAATAATTATTAAAATATTTTCAATTAAAAGGCTGTAAAGCTTAAAACTTAAAAAAAGAGATGGCACTAGTATGACTAAATTGGCTATAATGAAAGGTTATTAAAAATTCTTGAGGTCAAATTTCCCCTGAGATAAAACTGATGGCTGACTAGAATTAAAAAAGAAAAGGCCCAGAGAACAGAGATATTCTATTTTATCAAACTTTAAACTTAGCGACTAAAACTTAGTGATTAGATTTCATACACATGTTAAAACACTAAGACAGTGTGTTTAGTAGTGGGTAAAGCTTTTTTTTTTTTTAGCAGGATGACCACCACCTCCATAGTAGGAGAAATTCTATTAAAAAGAATTACTTGAAAAAAAATTATTCATACTTGGGGGAATGCCTGTTAAATCATGTAATAATTACAAAACTTATTTTAGCAGACAATATTTAAATCTATTTTAAGTTTGATCTCAAAATTCCATCCTCCTGCCTGTGGTCTTCAGTTTTCTAGCTTGGTGGGTCAGTAACCATGTTGCATTAGCTGTTAAAAACTAAAGCTTTTGCTTCCTTAGCCTTGTTGGCTCTTTGAAATCTAAGATATACTTACCTTCTTGGAAAACAGTTATTATCTCTTTATAAAATAATTACTGGGTGTCCCATTAAAATTAATTTAATCAATGAACTGTTTTGTACTTTATTTTTCTTTCCAGTTTGACCCAAGCTAGACTTACCTGGAAAGGGGCCCCTCAACTGAGAAAAAGCTTTCATCAGATTGCTTATAATGTGGGATTAATGATTTCTGTGGGAAGGCCCAGGCCACTGGGGACAGTGCCACCTGCAGACAGTCCTGAGTTGTATAAGAAAGCAGGCTGAGCAAGCCATGAAAAGCAAGCTAATAAGCAGCACCCCTCCATGGCCTCTGCTTCAGCTCTTGCCTTCTGGTTCCTGCCCTGACTTCCCGATGCACTAGAAATATAAGCTAAAATAAACTCAAGTTGGTTTTGGTCATTTTGATAGATAATCTTGGTTGTCAACTTGAGTATATCTGGAATCAATTAAGACCCAAGTAAACCTGAGAATGTCTATGAAGGATTTTCCTGATTTGATCATTTGAGGTGGGAAGATCTCCCTAAGTCTGGACCACACCTTCTGGTGGCAGCCTACCTACATAAAAAGGACAAGGAAGCTTTTGCTTTTTGCCTGCTTACACCCTCTTTCATTGGCAAGTGCATCATTCTGTTGCTGAGGCATTTCTTGGCTCTGGATAGAACCTTCTTCTTTGGAATTCCAATGTAAAATGAAGAGCAAGCCCTCTAGAACTTCCTTGGGACTCAATCATGAGACTGGGACCACTGAGACATTCAGTTTCCTGGACTGAATAACTACAGAATCCTTGGCCTTTACACTGTAAGACAGCTGTGGTTGGACTACTTGTACCGCAGCCCCTAACCATTTCTGTTCCTTTAGAGAAACTTGACTGATAGTGTCATAGTGTTTATCATAGCAATAGAAACCTAAGTAGGACAAAAATTTTTATCAGGTTCATGGGCTATTGTTGTGACAACCTGACCATGTCGTTTTTGTGAGTACTGTAGAAGGACTTTGAAACTTTGGCCTGGAAAAACCATTTAGTGCTCATAGCTTTACTGGGATGTTATAGGAGCTTGGGTGATGGGAATGCTGAAAGGGATGGAGATGATAGGGAGGCCTGTCTTATGATGTTTCAAAGGGAAGCAAAGACTATCAGGGATGTTTGAGTGACACTCTGAACCAACCATCTGTGGTTCTGGTCAACTGGAGATGAATCAGCTGTGATTAACAAAAGACCAGAATCATTAAAGTGAAACCTTTGTTTTGATGGGACAATTGATATCTGGAGCTGAGAAACTGGCAGTGATTAAGAAGAGACCAGCATCACGAAGGTGAATCTTCTAGGAGTATTTTCTCAGGGTTGGTATACAGAGCTGCATCTCGGGTTGGCAGCTGAAGGTGGTACTGGTTTTGAAGGCATAAAAGGGTCATGGAAAGTAGCTGAGGCCTAGCCCTAGCCCTGGGTAGAAGGGCTGGAGTCCTTGAAGACAGGTCTGGGGAGGCCATTGGTGAAGGTGTAGCTTTAGTTGCAGTGGAGGCCTCAGGATACTAGAGATAGCAATACCATGGGGTGACTGCCGAGGACCAGCCTAAGCCAATGAAATGAACTGGAGAAGGGAAGCTATCCAGGCCCTTTGGAGCTCAGAAGGTCATGAGTGAGGCTCAGATTCAAACACTTAACTTTTTACACTGCCTACTTCTGGTTTTGCTTTCTGTTGATTGTGACTATGCCCCGGTCTAAGTATTTAACTTAGTTTGTATTTTATAGGAGTCCACAGTTAAAAGATCAAACTTTTAAAGGAACACTGGATTTTAAGAGACTTTGAACTTTAAATATCATGGGACTTATAAAACTATACTATGTTTTGCAGTGTGATATTAATAATAACATGACATCTTGGGGATAAACGAGAAAGGAAACTTCATGGTTTAACAGCATTATGCTTGTGTATAAAATAACAAGGGGCCAGTTGTCCTGATCTAGGTGTGGGGGCGTTGTCAACTTGACACAAGCTAGAGTTATCTGGGAAGATGAACTTCAGAAGAGAAAATGCATCCATCAGATTTCTGTAAGCAAGTCTATGGGACATTTTCTTGATTAATGACGGATGTAGGGTGGCACAGCCCACTGGGGATGGCAACACCAATGAGCAGGTGTCCTCAGTTGAATAAGAAAGCAGGTTGAACAAGCCAGTAGGCAGCACTCCTCTGTGGTTTCTGCTTCAGTTCCTGCCTTGAGTGCCTACTCTGGCTTCTCTTCATGATGGGCCATACCTGGGCGCTGAAATAAACTCTTCCTCAACTTGCCTTTGGTCATGGTGTTCATCACAGCAAAGGAAACCCAACTAAGATTCATCTTTGTTAAAAAGAGACATACTGTAAAGAAAATGAAATTAAAAAATTCACAGAAAAACAGATGGATCTGGGAAGCATTATATTAAATGAGGTAACACCAACTCAGAAAGATAAAAATTGTATGTTTTCTCTCATATGTTGGTTGTTAGCTTCAAATATTGTGTTTTGTGTATTTATCCTGGAGTACATATGGAAGTCTGGAAACTAGCAATGGGCTAGTGGATGGGGAATACACTTATAAAGAGGGGATAGATTATAGAATTAAAGTAGAGAAGGGAAATGCTGGGCACTGAAACGTTTAAGCAGGTATTGCAGTCATGGGGCTGAAGAAACAGCTGGGGGGAAGGGTTATGCAAAATAAAGTGTGCATGAAGAAGCTCCATGGGAACCATGTCCCCAAAACCAAAGCAACGTTCTAATAAAATGGGAGAGTAGCACACGTATGAAAGAATGGGGTCATGGATCCTGAGAGCTAAGGGTTTACATGGAGGTTGGGAAAATCAGAGGTAGTGTGTGGGTTAACCAAAATTAAGGATATATGAAGAAGTCTTAGGAAACCCCACTAGTTTTATCAAAAGAGTTAAGAATTCCAGCATGGAGTGGGAGGGGCTCCTAACGCATGACCCTAGCTGAGGAGCTAATGGCACTTGGTGATTGTTGAGGGATGGGATGGAGAGTCATTTTTTTCTTTGTAAGGGTGGGGGGGGTGGCTACTGGTTGATTGCCAATGCCATAGTAGATGCCCCTCCCCACACATGTGAGGAGCATTAATTAAACTTAATTTGTGAGTTATTTAAGAAGAAGACAAGAAGTTGGAAGGGATGTGGGAGAGGTTGGTAGGGAGTAGGGGTGGGGGGAGGGGAGGGGGTGATTGAAAAGACTGAGCTATATTATACTCACATACGCATAAAATGTTCAAAAGAAAACAACTGGTACCACATGGAAACATGGTCTTTGCACATGAGTGGATAATGAAAACGTATTACATATATACACTGGACTTTTTTCTCATCATAAAGAAAAGTTAATGAAATCTGTAAGAAAATGATTGGAACTGGAGAACACTGTATTATATAAGGCAAACCAGGCACAGAGAGGCAATAACCAGTTCTTTCAATCGGAGCCCGGATTCTAACCAAGTGTGTGTATTTAGTGGGAGCAGGTATGAGTAACCTCCAGGACAGGGGACAATGAGATGGAGAGAAAGAGGCTCCAAGGAACATGTGAGATTCGAAAGGTGTTCTGGGGAGAAGACAGGAGAGGGGAGATAATCAATTAGAGAGAAGTATGAAATTTCCATAAAGAGAAAGCCAATGCTGTGGGCCAATTAAAATAATAAATGATTAAGTAATTAAACAACAACAAAAACATGGTATTTGGAGCAGCAGGTTGTGATTACTCATATTTGGCTCCAAAACAAACAACTTCTTCTTTAAGGGAAAAATCTGTGGTTTTTTTTTTTTTTTTTTTTTTGGTTTGTTTGTTTATTTTCTGCCTTCATAGGGGTTTGGAAGACCAATCAGTATAATAGTTAACTCAAAAATGGCTTCTCCCTTGTCTTGGTCCTACCTATCTGAGTGTACTCTAAGAGGAACAGTACTGTATGTGCTTTGTGAGCGGAGCCAGGTAAGGAACAAATGAAGGGATTTCAATTGCTCTGGAGGCCACTCCCTGGAGCCAGCTCTGTAACTGCCCCGGAGATAGATACCTTTTAGGAACCAGCTAGGAAGAATCATTCAATACTACACGAATGCTAGATCCTGACAAGGGAGGGCCATCAACTTCCTAGTGTCTTAGCCACTCTCTGTATCAAGTCAGTAACCTTCTTTGCTTATGCTATCTTGATGCAAATGAGTGCTTCTGGGACCCCAGCCTCAGTGTCTACCTTGCCAAGAATCAGGTAAACAGAGACTGACACATCACCCGAGGTATCTGTGTGGGAAGGGTGATCCTTTGAAACATTTTGCTTAAGAGAGTGACTCTACCACTGTTGACACTTATATACCGGTCCTGCAGCCTGTCTGTCACCTCAGCTTCCTCCAGCCAGAGGGACAGCTAATGATTACTGCTTTGATAGCTGCCCACCCAGACCCTCTTACTTTACCTTTAGCCCCTTGGCCCTGTTGATGGCCCTCAGAGGCCTGAGGACCCGCAGCACTCGTAAAATCTTCACAACGTTGATTGCACTGGACCTGGGAGAGAAACAGGGTGGGTGGTCAGTTCCAGTTCCTGGGTTGTAGCAGAGACTGGCATGTGCTGATGCTGTTCTGAATGACTGCTCTTAGATGGAGGATGGATGGATGGACGGATGGATGGACAGACGGATAGATAGATGATGCTGACTCTGTTTCGGGGACTGGGACTTCTATCACTCACTGCTAAGAACCTGACAGGACTTCCCTGATAGTAAAGACACAGAAGGAATGGGGATACAGCTCAGGGTGAAGGCTTGTCTGGCATGCTTCAGGCCTTCTTTTGATCTCCAGCCCTGGTGTAGGGAGGGTTAGGGCATAAAGCTCAACTCACTAGCAATATAATATGTGACGTAAGAGGCATCTGTAGTGTCAAAAGAAAAATGACAATGAAAGCAAGCCAGACCTGCACTATCCCCATCGCTGTGACCTGCCAGCTGAATCACTCAGGACACATTTCTTAATTTTCTGTGCCCTGGTTTTTCATCTGGTAAATGGGGGCAGTAATTAGCTCCAAGGATTGTTTTAGAGATTGAAGGAGAATTTATGGACATTAGGTAGTAGGGACTTGGTACATATTACAAATCTAGCAAGCAAATGGCAGTTTTCATTATCTTGTCTGATGAAGACATCACTACACTACATACCAAATGTATGCTGAAACTTCAGGCCTTGTGGTTGGAGGTGGCAGGCACGGGGAAGGAATTCTAGAACATTTCCAAATTCAATGCCTGAGTATAAATTCTACCATGGTTCAGGACATGCTCAGACTTCTATAAGACAACGATGTGCCAGTAAAAACGTTCAAAGAGAAAGTGGTGTTCCAAGAAACATGGAATGTCCAGGTCATGCCAGCATATCTGGGTGCCTTGGGCTATGGGTACTTCCTGGTGGAGAGTAGTGACAGGTGCCCCCATAAGCCCTTCATGGAGAATGGCTAGATGGATTCCATCTGTCATTAACCACACTCAGTAGTTTAGCATCATCTGAAGTGACCTCCCACCTGAGGTGCTGTCTAATTAAGGCATTTGCTTTAGCACGGGATAGGAGGACTCAAACTTTCCTGAGAACCAAAAAAATTGGTCTGATGTGTTAGCGAGTGCTGACTTTATTCTTCCTATGTCAAGAGGGAGCTAATACAAAAATCCAATTTCTCTGGCTCATACATCTTTATTTCAAAAGACAAAGGACATTCCTCTCCATCACTCTTCCCACGGCATCTCTGGGAGGTAGGCAGTTTGCACTGCATCAAAATGGAAAGAATTTAAGGGACAGATTCTAAAACAAAACAAAAATCAAAACAACCAAGAGGAATTGTTGGTTTAAAGTGAACCTGTCACCGGAGTAGCCCTGAGGTGGGAATCTAGATGTCTAGGCTCCCAGAGAGAAACTTTAGATAGCATAATTCATGACTAAAGAAAAGGGTCTCACTTCCGTGGTCCATATCACCATAGAGGCTAACCATGAACCAATCTTGGGAAGGGAGACCCAGGATGCTTGGAATACAAGTTTTGGTCACTGGTATAACCTTAGCTAATTCTCCTAATGTCCTGAACACTAAATTTTAAAGTAGCATTATAGGTAGGCGTAGGTGTGTGAGTGTGTGTGTGTGTGTGTGTGTGTGTGTGTGTATCATGGAAGAACAGATATGTGAAAATGTTTTAAAACTCAAAGTGTAGAATTAATAAGCACAGTTGTTAAAATAGGTAGAAACTCAGAATCAAATTTCTTTCAAACCTGAGCAAGGTTTAAACTTGACCTTAGAGGGAACTAGGCTACAGAGTTTTACAACTCATGCCTGGTCCTGTGTATCTGAACCTCCATGGATGGAACCCAGGAAATAGCCATTCTTTTTAACTTACCTAGAAGGTTTCTTCTGTGGAGCTGAGATTAAGGATCAGTGCTCCCCACCCTCCTCCCCTCCTCCTTCTTAGTCTATCTCTTCCCCCTTCTCTTTCCAGAACAGAAGTGCATACATACCCCGCTCCTCCCCGTGTGTATGTGTGTCTGTGTGTCTGTGTCTGTAAATGTGTGGCTTTGATGGAGGACAGAAGTGGGGATCAGGGAAAGAGTCTGAGCTTGGCCAGGGTAGATCACAGCAATGGCAGATTTGGGCAGCTCTAGGACAGCCCCAGGCCTTAAGCACAGAGAAAGAGACTCAGGCAGAAGAAGGTACCACAGATGTCTGTTATCATGGGACCTGAACCTGCCATGACAAAAATCTAGACATTTAAACTAATTCTCGTGTTTCAATACACCCCAAGTGTCAGACCATGGAAGACAAAGATATAAGGAATTAAGTAGGACTTGGTGGTGCAGGCCTATAATCTTCACTACTCAGGAGGCTAGAGCAAGCCCGGGGGACAAATACAAAGGGGAAAGAGCTGTGTCTGGGTGTTTGGTGGTAGAGCACTTGCCTAGCAATTTAGGCCCTGTGTTCAATCCCAAGTACCTCGAGGAAGGGGGTGGAAGAGGAGGAAGAGGAAGAGGAGGAGGGGAGGACGGGGAGGAGAAGGGATCAGAGCAAACATTGTGTGCTACTTTAGGTTCCACCCCATTCCAACCATAGTCACACTGTGACTCCAGCCAGAAGGCTCCCCCAGGGCTTGGATGACTTCTTTGACACCCACTCCTAGCCGCTTGCCCCCATCTTGAGTTGAGGGACTCACTGGATGCCAAAGGAGATGAGGGACACGCTAACTACCAGCAGGTCCAAGATATTGAAGTAGTTTCGGCAGAAAGAGCCCTTGTGCAGGAAAGCCCCGTAAGCAGTCATCTGCAGGGAGGGAGAGAACATGAGTGAGTGGCCTGCCCAGGCTTCAGAGACAACATTTAGACACCACGCTTCCTGCCTATGCCGTCAGCATCCCCGGGGAAGAGCCCAAGCACTGCATAGGGACAGTAGGAAGGATCTAAGGCGACAGTGCCAAGAAACTCCTCTGCCCTTCATTCCATTACCAAAGAACTTCCCCAGCTCAGGACATTACGTAGTACTGACAAGTGTCAGGTTCTTCAACCCAAAGCCCTTTCAGATGGGCACCATGGCTCTTCCCTAACATTCCACTGCCCTTCATCCCCAGGCCAACATGGCTTCACTCTGCAGGGCACTTTGCTGCTTCTGCATAGGGGATGTTCTCACTGTCCGCACACCTCCTTTCCACATCTCATTCTCAGGGCCAGCTGAGGCACTAGGCATCAGTGGAAGAATGAGACACGCCCACATGGGTGTCCGACCATCCTGATTTGCCCAGGACTTAATTGGCTTCACCATTAAAAAAACAAAAACAAAACAATTAAACAAACAAAAAAACAAAACAAAAAATCCCAAAAAACAAAAAAAAACCTCATGCCCTAGAAAATCTCTGTTGTACCAATAACTGTAGCTGGTCTCAGTAGTGCTTAGGATCTTTGTCAAATGTAGCTGGGTGCTACTGTCTGACTTCTAGACTACATGTGGGGTCTTTTTAAGAGTTGGAGCCATGTTCAGAGGGGCAAAGTGGTACAATGGTGTGAAATACAGGCTCTGAAGCCATATGGCCCAACCCTGCTATATTTCATGTGCCTCATGTGAAAAATTAACTTTTCTGTGATGTGTGTATCAGGACAATGGCAACACTTGGTCCCTGGGTTGTGAGCATCAGTGGAGTAATTATGCATAAAGCACTTAGGACATGTTTCTGTGTTCTCTTTCACTACTACTTGAGTTTGAGACCTATATTCTTCCTGTGCAATGGAAGTGGTGTCCATTTCTATAAAGTGTGATTGATGTTTCATGTTTTTGTGCAGGTCAGACAGCAAAGGGAACACTCTCTGAAAATGTCCAAAACAAGAACATGTAGGGTGACGATTGTTGTTCTAGGATCTGACTAGCATTGCTTGTGAGAAAGTGCACCCTGTACACTCACACTCTGCTGCCTGCAGTAAAGGCTCATAGATACCTAGGAGAAGCCAGTACAAAGCTGCAGGTAATGAAGCATCTGCCCAAGAAAAAAATCCAGATCTGATGGCTGAGAGTCCAAGAGCAGTTACCGGCCATCTGAAGCCCAGTTTTTCTCTTTGGAATCAGAGCATGTCCAGGGTGGTACACCCAAAGACCAATACAAAAGCCAACATGGGGAAACTGGCAAAAATAGCTCTTGCGACCTAATTCTTTCCATTTATCTCCTGCAGCAGGAGATCACAGGGGACTGGGGAATCTGTGCTCTGCAGCAGTTTTTAGAAGTGGGGAGATTACATAAAAGCTTCTGGGCTAATATGGCTATAGATCCTTCCCAAAGACTACAATCTGGAGGGCTCACTGTCCTATGGCTCTGTGAAGACATGGACCCCAGACAGTAGAGTTAAGTGGCTGCCACCGTTCATGTTCACCAGAAAGTTTTGGATGGGGGGACAATGTGGCTCATAGCACAATTTCTGTCCCTTGACTTTGGGCTTGGTTTGTCTGCGACACTAGAAGTAGAGTAGCCCTTTGGAATGCATGAAAATGTTGGGTGGGAGCAATGGACATGTGCCCAGGCAAGATCAGAGTAAGGATGGGGTGAGAAAGGGCAGGTAGGTACTAGGAAGAGAGAACATTTATTGAAAGTCTATGTGCATTCATGGCACCAGAAAAAGCCAAGTTCAGACACCTGTGCAAGTGACCTTCTTCTATGCTGTGCTACTGATTGTCACCCACCTGGTCCCTGCTTCCTGAAAACTTTAAGCTATTTCCCAGGAAAGGCCTGGGACTAAGCATCTGTATTGTGAGAAAGGAATGGAATGAGACAGAAGCTTCTGAGTTCTTTGAGCTGGAGGTGACGTTGTCTCCTGCCACCCGACCCCGACATCACCTTCCTCCAGGTATACCTCTAGGGACAGCCACCCCATCACTTGTGCACTTCCTTGGCTGATTCAGATCCTACTTTCTTTTTCTTCTACACAACAGTCCTTTCCATTATTTAAACTAATATGCTCCTACCCATCCTGCCCTTTTAAAGACAAATGGCCCCAGACCCTCCAAACAGTCCCTTGGAGCAAACGAGGCTCTGGGGAGCATCACAATCATAGCCTTGGCACTGATACAGGACCTCCGAGCTGGGCAGACAGACCCACATGTGGGCAGTGTGGCAAGTGGACTGGGAATGCAGGGAGGAGGATTCAGAAGCACAGTGAGCGAAAAGAGACTGGAAGCCAAAGGAAGAAGTGGGGGAGGGGCTTGCCATGGCAATGCTTGCAGAGACTTTCATTTCCGCTTGCATGGCAATCTTAAGGAGAAAGCACCATTGAAATCCTCAACTGAAGCTCTGCACGGGGTCCTGAGAACTGGGCCTCAGAGAGTTTCTTGCCCTGGGAAAGATCTTTCAGGGCCTGTCTGTGGCCTTGAGTCTAGGGTGCAGCAGCAAAGCAGCTCACTATGGAAAGGGAGTCCTTTCCTGGAGGAATTTGAACGTAGGCTCTGGGTACCTACTTTCAGGGATCTGTTCCCCATCTATGTTCCCTGGCAGGCAAGAAAAATCTGAGCCACACAGCTGGGGAGCAAGGGAAGCTAAGGGTCAGTACCACTGGGCCTCTGAGGCACAAGGACATCCTGGGTGGCACACAGAAACTGCCCACCTCAAGTTGTATCTGGATGACACAGAAATGTCAAGCCCACTAAAAGGTTGGGCATGATCTGAGGGTTTTGTCAGGAAAAGAAAGGTCTGTAGCTGGCGCTGGTGCACACTCAGAGTGGACAGCAGCTTGCATCTACTCCAAGGATGGGCTGAAGAGAGTCCTGAGATTTTTGGGAGAGGGCATCCCAGGCAAGTGTCCCAGGAAGATGCTTAAGCTGAAGCCTGTGCTCAGAGACTACGACTCCTGTGTTCTGCTCAAGGGTAAAATCTCCCTCTTGCTCAGAGAGAAGCCAGAATTACCCAAGGTCCTACAGCCCAGATAGACCCCCATGGTCAGGTTTGGATATACGTATAACAACCTGTAAAAACCAGGAGGTTAGAGCACAGGTCACCAAGGGGTTAGAAACAACCTCTAGTTGTCTGCTATATGACTCAGTTGGGATGCTGGCTCCCAATCCTGCTTCAGACCCGCCATCACTATTACACGGCCCCAGCTTCTGTTAGCCTTGGCACTGAGGAAGGTATTGATGACAAGCTTCCAAAGACAGGGGCCAAAGTGGCTCCTTCATGCTCCAGAGATTTTGCTTTTCTAGAGCCCGGGTGGCATTTCCTCTATGCAGGAGGCGGGAGAGAGAATTTCAAGTAGGACTCAGCCATGGACTGATTGGAGAAGGTACACGCGAACATGTGTAATGAGCGCAGCTGACAGCCACCATGCTCAGCCAGTGACGGGACAGCGCCCATGGTGACACAGCCAGTGCATGCCTTCTCTAGGCCTAGAACTACTGCTAAGTGAGCAGAAGGGAGCTGTGTGGTAGGGTAGGTTTCTCCTGGCATCTGAGCTGGGGCAAAGTGATAGCATGAAGTGAGGACACAAGAGTCAGAGAGAGAAGGAGACAGAAGAGTCAGCAGACAGAGCAGAGACACAGAGAGACAGAGACACATGGCTCGGGGGGCATTACCTTAAGGATAATTTCTAATGTAAAGATACTAGTGAAGACATAGTCTGCATTGCCTAGGATCTGAAAAATAAGCAGAATTGGATTAGTGGCTCTGAGAGTGCACCCAACACCAACAGGAGCATGTGTTAGCAACAAGACAGACAGCAGCAGAGAGCCGGGACTGGCAGAGAGAGGAAGGAAGACAGAGGGAGATGGGGCTTTACCTTCAGAGCAATTTCAATGGTGAAAATGGTAGTGAAAACAATGTCAAAATAAAACAGAATCTGCAAAACAAAAACAAATAGGATGGGGAGGGGGCGGGGCAGGACACAAGCAGGAAAGGGGAGAGGTCAGTGGATGTTCACCAGAAAAGGAAAAGCACTTCAAAACAAGCTGCGACCCCGTACACCACCAGAGCCTTCCCACGCGGAGACAGGTGAGGAGACAGGTAGGAAGGACTTCCCAACATCAGTTCCCACTCAGGGCTGGCACAGGTGGCTCTGGCTCCGCCCGGCATCTGCGGGCAGGTAGGGGGAGCTTCCAGGCCTCAAGGGGAATCAGGTTTAAAGAGCATCGTCTGGATGCTTCTGTCATCCACCCAATTTACTTACAAACCCAGAACAGACCACTGGATGTTGGTTAAGAGAGCAGAATGGGTTTGTTTTTGCAGGGCCACTCAAATGCTCAGCTCTCACATTGGTGCCCTGTATCAGGGGAGGACATTACACTTGTCACGGCCTTGGGCCCTAAGAAGGAAGTCCTCCAGGTCAGCCATAGCATTGATATTTGATTTCATCTTGGGAGATGGATCAGGTCTAAGGCTACTCCTGGGGACCTCAGCCGACAGCCAGGTGCAGACAGAGCCCCAGAGCTAAGAACTTTGTTTATAGACATAGCTTTGGCTCTTTCCTTCATGCCTGTGTGGCTGAAATTTAATAAAGGAGTTTTGAAGGACAACAATCTTTATTTTAGGATTTCATGTTGATCACTAGAGCCTTGGGTAGTTCCAAACAGATTAACTCTTGAAGATTATCGTATTTTTTTTGTTGTTGTTGTTCTTTGTTTTGTTTTCTTACAAGGTCAACCTTCCCATTGGCAGCTAATTGCCAATGCTCCTTCTTAGTCAGAGGGAATGGGAGCAGGGCATGAAACCAGTGGCCACGTTGCTGACTTACAGGCAACTTGAGTTTCCTGGGGAACATCCACAGGCAACAAAGATACCTGACCACTGTCCATTATCAACTAGCCAGATGCATTGGGTACATGCTCACTTGCTCAGTGAAAACTCCCAGGCTGGGTTTTCTATCAAAGTCCTAATCTCTCAGAGGACTCTTCGCTGTGTACAGATTATGAGGTCTGGAACAGGCCTCCTAACTGAGCAGTGATGTCAAAAGCAGAAGCTGTGGGCCCGCCCCACTCTCAGAAAGACAGGGTGCAGAAAACAACATAGAGTGCATACATGGTTCCTGAAGGAGGTGTGCTGGACCGGGTCCTCAGCAGCCAGAGAGACGCTGCTGAGCAGGATGAAGAAGAGGATCAGGTTAGTGAAGATGGTGTCGTTGACGATGCGGTGGCACTGGAGGCGGAACCTGTGTGGGAAAGAGATGTCAGGAAAGATGAGGCATGGCCTGAGCCTCAGGAGCCCGTCCCCTGGTCCTAATATACAGGCAGAGCATTTCAGTACTGCTGCACCTCTGTGTCTTAGGGTAAAGGGACTTAGTGAAGTATCAGAGGTAACTACTGGCTGACTAGGAATATTTCATACACGAGAATCCTGGGGAGGGAAGTAACTGTAGACCAATGGATTAACACTCCAGGGCTCTCCTAATTTGGTGTTCCCACATATGTTGTGGGGATCCGGCAACACCCAGGCTTCTCCTGTAGGTTGGATACAGTCTCGTGCTAGTTTGGACCCAGGAGGAAGTGGTTTTCTTTCCTTGCCATTCTTGCACACCTGTTGTTTGGGCTGAAGATGAAAAACGCACTGGCTTCTGGCATGGGCACTGCCTTTTCCTTCAGGTGTAGCTCAGACAGAGGCCGGGGGCGTGGCCCCACAGGCATCTCAGGCTCCTCCTCATCCTCTTCCCCTGTAAGAAAGAGCAAAAGTTCCGTTCTCAACTTCAGGTTTCCTTCCAGACACATCCCACTGCAGGATCAAGACATCTGGGTGCCTCTGAGCTGTGGAATGTTAATCCAGGCAGATGCTCTGCTCTGCCCCATGGGGCTGTCAGAGGCTTTGCTAGGAGTGTATAATACTAGGGCCTGTAAATAGGATACAATATGTTCTAGTTTGTCCAAACTGCTCTGGTTTTAAAATTGAAAACCCCGTGTGCTGGAAAGCCCCCTAATACTAAGAAAAAGAGACAGCAGGCTGGGATAAGCCCAGGCACTGCCATCTTAGCTGCAGGTGAGAAAGGGGGATGGCTAAGCTGACTTGTGCAATCCCTTGCAGCCAAGTCTATTCTTGAAACTCCCCTTGATTAAGTGAGGGAACGTGCTTTATATCTGAATTGACATGGCCACAAACTGCCTTCTGAATATTTATCTTTCTGGCCACAGACAAATACTGCTTTCAGCTGTAATAGGAGAATCCTCTGTCACAATGGATGGTAGTCAACACAGAAACTCATGGTTGCTGTAGATGCCAAGAATAAGTCAAGGTTGCATGCTTAGTCCCAAACGGGGCATTTACACCTAAGACTCAGGGAGCATGACAAAAGAAGGGATGGAAGGACCACGTGAGCCCGAAGAGAGGAATAAGGGCTGCAGAATGCTATCTTCTGGTATATCAGCCATGCAGGTATGGTCCCACAGCAGCTGAGGTGCCTCTCCTGGGCCTGGACAAGATCGGGCCTGTCAGTAGTCAATCATGGATGGGAAGAAGCGATTCATGGGGCCCTACCTCTCCATGCTGAACTACTGGCTTCATTAGATTCTTTGGAGGGGCAGTCATTGCCATCAGCTGAATGTCCATGGAAGAGCCTACCAGGCTGCAATGGACAGTCCTAATACCACAGTCATACAGACAGCTCTGATTAAACTCAGCGAGTCACAGAACCACACAGAGACAGGGATGTAGGGAAGGGTGTGTGTGTAACAGAGGTGGAAGGGAGCTGGGAGAGGTAGGGGGTGGTCATAGGAGTAACCAGAATGTTCTATATGTTATAAATATATAAAACTGTCAAAGAACTAATTTAATTAAAGTTCATTTTAAAAAACTGAACAAGTTACACTTCAAAATCCCTGTATTTTCCTATGACTTCCCAGAAAACGAGGCAGGGATAGCAGAGCCCGAGCAATGACAAGAGGCCTGTCGTCCTGATGTTGGACAATGACACCAAGTGGAGAGGTCCCTTCTGGCCAGTGGCCAGAGCTTAGGGAAGTCAAAGTCGGACAGTTTGCCTCACCGCATCTAAGGGGGAAGGCACTATGTGTGCTTCTGGTCAAATATTCTTAGAAATGCACAGCCTGGGAAAGGGTGCTTACAATGGCTGTCATACCCAGCAATGCTCCAGAAAATGCCTTCATCTATATCATGACTCTGGGGCTTTCTGAATATGGCTTTTACACTTAGTCTTCCCGTGCTCAGTTCCTCCGATGGCATAGTATTGAGAGTACACAGACATTTCAGAACACTGTCTGGCATGTAGCTGAAGCTGTGGAGGTGGCAGCTCTCACACTACCATCTCTATCCAGAGGACAGATGCAGAGCATATGAGATTAGTGTTCAACTTTCGCAGTCTCATCGTGCCTGCTCCCAATTCCTAACCAACTATCTGCTCAAATCCAGTCATTTTCTGGCTAGAAACCAGTGAGTTGACCAGTATTCTCCAAAAGTCATGCTCACCCAGAATTTCCGAGTATGGCCTTAGAAACCAGGTCTAAAGGCACACTCGGGTTAGAAGGCCATGTGAATAAGATAGGGGCAGAGATTACCATGGGAGGTCTACAAGGTCAGCATTTCTGGCTGCCAAAAGGAGTTAGGCAAGCAAGGACTCTTTCTTTGCAGAAGGAGAATGGCCCTTCTCTTTGGTGTCAGACATATGTAAACATGTGATAGCATCAACCTTGCTTATTTTAAGGCACCCGATGTGTGGTTGTTTCTTAGGTTCCAGGAAGCTGCAATACTATGTGCTTTGGCCTAGGCTAATGCACTCCCTCTTTGAGCTTCCCTTCATTGCCTTCTCTGACAAGAGTGTCAGTGCAGAGACATGCGTATGAGAAAGGGACATGTAGGGAAAAGAGGGAGGGGACTCACAGGAGTAGGAGGGAAGTAGGAGAGGGTAGAGAGGTAAGAGTAACCAGAATGCATTGTATATCTATGAAACTATTAAGGAATACACTTAATAAGAATATTCCTTTAAATGAACACATTATACTTAAAACTAAAACACAAAAACCAAGACCAAATACCTCCCAGCACTCAGGAGGCAGAGGCAGGTAGATCTCTGTGAGTTTGAGGCCAGTCTGGTTTATACACTAAATTTTAGGTCAGCCAGAATTATGCAGTTAAATACTGTCTCAAAACAATAAGCAAAAAACAAAAACTCATCAAAACTCTAATCAACTAAAAAAACAAGAATCCAAAACAACCAATTAAACCAAAAAACCCACCTGCATTTTCCCATCTGCTTCCCAGAAAACACATGCTGCGGACAGTAGCCTTCCCTGCAGTATCCTGAGTACCTGGGCTTTAAGGAATGATCTCCCCATCTAACCCTCCTATTATATCTCCCAAGTCATCTGTTTTATGTGGCGTCCATGTGGTCTGTGGACAGAAACCAGGGCTTTGTGATCACAGACGAGCATTGTACCAGCTAAGCTACACCCCCAGCCCAGGAGCCTTTAGTTTCGATGATGATTAAACTTCCACACTTTCTTAAGAAAAGAACTACACACACCCACCCTTGCCCTATGGAGCCTTGCCAAAGGCCCACGTGACTCCGTTAAATGACCATGGGCTTTGACCTCTGAAACTGAGTGAGTCAGAGCCCTTCATCCTTACAGAGTCACTCTTTCTGGTATTTCATCACCGACAGGAAGCTGGCCAACATAAGAAGTAAGGGGTGGAAAGACCAAGAAAAATGAAGGCAAGCCGTCTTACCAAAAGCTAAAAAAAGCCAACGCTCTATATTCTACTTAGAACAATACAGCTCAAGATCATTACCACAGACATGGGAGGTCTGGTGAGGCGTTCAAGCTCTGCTCAGCTGAGTATGTGTGTGAAAAGTCTGAAATACAGTCCACATTGTACATGGGCTGCCTCCTACAGGCCACACTAGCTTGGGATAGGCTCTTCCCGGGGCCCAGAGTGGCGTGGGTGTGTTTTACTGTAATTTTACTTAAATGTTTACAAACATACACAGCAGTGGAGAGATTTGTAGAGCGGCTCTCTTTATCTGCTTTCAACATCTACTGACATTTGCTGATATAGTTTTACTTATCTTTTCTGCTTGCACTTTATAAGATTGTTGAAATGCTTTTTAAAAGCAACTTCTAAACACTTCAGACTCTAGACATAAACACTGTAGTATTTTAGAAACATAATTACCACATTATTATACTAACATGATTAACAAAAATCTACTTAAAATAATTTAGTCCCTAGTCCATATTCAATCTTCTCCCAATTATCTCAAAAACATTATTTTAAAATAGAATTTATTTATTGGGAAGATAGACAAAATCTTTCTATTTCACTGAGTAATTGCTTCTAGCAAGCCTTTAATAGTCTGCAGAGCATTCCCAATAAGCCCTGAGGGTTTTGACACATCAAACCCTGGACACACTTTGCTCTTTTTTTGTGTAAGGCATAGATACCAAGTCCTACTTCCTTTGCAGGGAGAAGGGAGTTAGGAGAAAGGGAGCTGCTTCCAGGGAGGAGGCCTATAGCACCTTTGTAGACTCAGTAGATAACCAGTGGAGGGAAAGCAACATGGCGCCACAGCTTTGGTTAAAAACACAGCTTCCTGCTACCTCCCCGGGTTACCAGCCCAATGTGGTTTAGCCTGGTCAGAGAAGGAAGGTCACTACAACCCACAGTCATTTGCCGTGTGTTGGCTTCAAGCTTGGAGTTTGTGACAAATCAGTAGCTCGAGAAAGCAAACGTAAGGCTCCTGTTGGGATGGGGCTTCCAGAAGCTGGGATGTATATTATGGAGGGGCAGCCAGGGCTTCCGACCTTAAAACCCTCTGGAAGGAGACTGCCTGTCAAGTCATGCATCAGACAGATGCACATTAACTTGTCAGAAGAGTTCCCTTTGCAACGAGAGACCTGAAGCATTTCATGGAGCCACAAATGGGACATCTGTGATGGCAGCTGTCCTCATAGTGAACAATGCCTCCTGAGTAATGACAAGATGGGTTTTGGATTGACTATTATTAGGTGAGCATAATGCAGCAACATATGCTATACTAATAAAATATGTAACTTGACAGTGACAGCAACACACGTGGTGTAATGAAACCTTAAACACAACGGTGGTATAGGAGCACATCTTCTAAAACTATGTATGGGTCATGGCCCCATAAGGGGTCTTGTAACTAAATATGGGGCGTTATAAGAACTTTGCCCATAACGAAAGGTTTATGAATGTGCAACCACCAAATTTAATTCAAAAGCAAAGGTGAAATGAATCAACGGTGCTTGTGCCTGCGCCTGCGCGTGTCTCACTCAGCTTCAGCGCAGCTCATGCAGCTTCAGTGCAGCCTGGGTTCTGAACACCCACCCAGCAGGAGCTTACACTGTGTGCACTAACTCCCCACGCTATGCCAGCAGACACTGCCCCATACATCGCAATTCAGATCTAAAACTGTTGCGTATCACAAAGCCTATATAGAATCTTCTGTTGCAGAAACATAATGGTTTAATTGTGAGGGGTAGGCAATATTTTACTATCATCCCTCTAATGTAAGAATCAAAGTATCTCTAGATTTTAAAAGTATCTGTTTGGACTGCTAACTTGACTGTCTTTAAGAAAAATCATTAAATGAAATTTGGCTTGGGATTAGGATTTCATTTCTAACAATTTATGGCCCTAAACATAGGTCTACTGTTTAATAGTGTTTATGTGAGATAGTATTCTTAGCCCTGATAATTATAAAATAAAAATATTGATCAACTACTAAACATGTTAAGATGCTCTGCATCCTGCAACATCAAATATCCAGCCAAAATTTGTTTCTTTATATAAAAACAAGACTATCTGTCTAATTAGTATGAAAGCTTGCAGTAGTCTTTAATAGCTGATAAAATGATATGTATATGGAAGAATTATTTTAGGATAAATTTCTTTGTGAAATTCACTATTAGAAAATATTTAATTTGTATCCTGCATATGTTGTCCCCTCTCCTCTTAAACAATAAAACAGTAATTAAAAAAAAAAAGACTAAGTCAAAGTAATCACAATTCAAAATCTTCCTCAAATGTGGTATTATCTCAATAGCATTATGAGGGTACCAGAAAGAGCATCTCTCCCAGACGACAACTGGTAATACTTAAATCCAGACATGAGATGCTTAGTGGTGAAGGTGCTCATAGAGGAAACTAGTCCCGTGGTCCCCAGTGCCGGGCCACTCCCACACAGCTGAGTCTACCCACAGCCTTCCAGTCTCAGGTCAGGTAGTGCAATGATACCTGCAGTGTCGGGGTTGGAGTGGGGACTCTTATCTTCATTTTCACTGGGCTGGAGGTCATCCATGTTGATCTAGGCAGCCAAGGGAAGGAAGAAGAATTCAGTTAGATGAGTGCTGGAGCTCTTGGGTGGAGGGGAGCCTTGGAATCATACCGTAGACAGGTTCTGAGTTTTAAAAGAATTCATTCACCTTTGCCCCCATGGCTTTCAGCTCCCCTCAGAACATCAGAAAAGCTGGTGCTCCACCAACGCCTCTTTTCTTCCCTTTCGATTCCATCTGTCACTCTCCTCTCCCTGCACCACCACTCCTTCTTCCCCTTTCCTTCCGGTAAAGAACAGGAAGCCCCTGCCTTAGTGGCAGCTCTCACCTTGGTAGTGGGTGGGGACTCTCCATCTGCAGTAATGGACTTCAGCTCAATTTTCTCCTCTTTGCTCTCCTCCACCGCTGGCTTCTCCATCACCTCTTGCTTCTTTTCTGGGCTGGCAGTCCTGGCCGGTCAGCAGGAAAAAAACCCAGAAATGGATGTTTACTGGAATGATAGTGGACAGTGCAGACAGGAACTGCTTTGTGGTCTTCTGGGGGCAGCAAGATCAGCCCTGGGTCCTCACACATTGTCTTTGCTCTAGGGAACATCACACACTTGCAGCTCCATCGTGAGGACCACAGGCCTGGGGCACCCCTGGCTCTGTCTAATACACATTTGACCTCTTTCAGATCCTTAGTGTCTCCCCCTTTAAAATCAGAGGATGCTGGGTCTCACTTAGGATTCTTAGAGGATCTCTGCTTGGTGTCCAGCAGAGGCACGGCATATGACAGTCCTGGCTAGATAATTATGGGATGGAACGTAGAACCTTATGTTGTCTTCCTAACACGCAATGGCACAAAAATAGCGAGAAAACATCATTTTCTGAGCTGGAAGTTGTGTTTTCTTCTGAAGGCAGCTTCCCCCTATCTCTTCCTTGGGTTTCCATACCTTCTCTTCCCAAGGGATGGCCTCTCACTTCCTGGACCGGTGGGGGAAATGCAACACCTTTACGGAGACTATATAGCAATGACTAGGAGCTACAGGAGAAGCCACATTATTATAGAAGTTTCACTCTAGTCCATTTCAACCAAGATGGCCACTGGAGGAGCACCAGCCCTTTCTCCCACATGGGGATGGCATTCTAAGCTTAGAGGGTTACCTGGCCAGCTTCTTTCTCTCCTTCTCTTCTTCTTCTTCCTTTTGGGCAGAGGTGAGGCTCTCAGCATCAGCCAGGTTGTCCACCGCAATGGCCAAGAACACATTCAGTAGGATATCTGTTTGTGTCCATTCTTAAAGAAAACGACCCTTGGTTTTGGGAAATGTGACAGCCACAGGGGACAGGGAGAGGACAAAGCATGCAGAAGTAAGAGCTCCCCAGGAGAAGCCCACTCTGGGTGGAGACCAGCTGTGTACCTTCTCCTCCTTCCCCATTAGCCTGCTTAGTGTTCCGAGCTTTCTAAGTGGTTCAGATCAGGTGGGCTTTGCAGATGTGAGCAGGGCAGGTCTGAAGCAGCAGGCCCTGCCTTGCTCTTTAGTTGCTAGGTTTCACTCTTCCTTTAACCAATGAAATGTCTGGCTTTGATAGCAGATGGCTCTTAAGACCAATTCACATAACAGGGCACTGAGGAGGTGGCTTGGAACCCCTGTCGGTCTGTATATACAAATACCCTTAGAAGTTCTGACTACAGCTGGACAGACTTGACAATTCTTACTAAAGCAGTCATCTGCCTGTGTCCCCCACCCTGCCAAGTCCTGCTTTTTCTTCAACAGAAGCACTGTGACCCAGAGGACCATAGAACCAAGAAAGTAGAGCTGGAAGTGTCTTAAGTTTGTTAAACCCAATGCCCTGTCCTGGGCACCCTATATTCACACCTCTTCCCACACAGTGCTAACACCCCACAAAGATGGGAGCATAGGGCCCCTTGTGTGCATCTTTCCAGCCAGCTCACAGAGACCCTTCAAACAGTACTCCCTATTATTCCACTGCAAGCCCAGAGGCTCTTATCAGACCACGTACAGCAAGATCTGCAATTCAATTCATTTTTCAAATTTTGAAATACACATGAGGGGATCTGCCTCGGGGATAGGGACCAAAGACATTTGATTTGCATATATATCTCCTACACATACTTTGACATCAACTCTATACAAACCTTTAATAATTTTCAACATGAGATGCTCATGTGGTTTTCTACCTAATGCAACCTGTAGGCACTGGAAAGCTTCCAGATATTGGCTTATTGATCAGGGATTCTCAGACTGTCATGCATTATAGAGACATTGAGGAAGAAGGCTGTTGATGTGCCAGAGGCTATCTAGCTGATGGAATACCAGTTTTGTCTGCAAGTGGCATAGTGTTCTTGATTTCTGAACTACTCAAACCAAGGGTTTCACTCAAGTTTTGGGCTAGAGGTGTTTCTATCTTATCACCCAGCTCTAGACTCCATTCTCATAGGCTCAACCAGTGGGAGAGAAGAAAAGCCTAAGGCTTGAGGTCCTGGGGTCCTGTCCCTGCCTCTGACTGGCTATCAGGAATGAATTGGTAATTTGTTCAGCTCTGCCTATGACTTTAGCCCCAAGAACAGCTTCAAAGGGAGGGAACTAATCAACACACAGAGTGGAGATCTGAGTAGGTGCAGTAGCTTCAGAGTGGCCAGGGCACACATCTCCAGACATATTGCGTCCTAGTCTATGTGACTTTGGCTGCACAGGCCACACTGCTTAGGGGCCTCATCCACCTAGACTGTGACCAGAGCACACCTCCTAGAGAGTGTACCTTAAAGTGTGAGTGAGTTCAGGAGTGTGGGGTGCACTGTCTCCTAAGTCCCAGCTGCAGCATGCACCCAGACCCCACACCATGGCTGAAGTGGTTCTAGGCCAGGACACATTTCCTTACAAGAGTGGTCTTGCCCAGCTAGCCTGTGAATGGGCAACCACAACACAGAGCCCCAGCCAGTGCCTTGGAGCACACACATGGCACTGTGCAAAGGCTGAGTGGGACAGCAGGGTTGGGGCAGCATCAGCATCAAAGGATACAATTTCCACAGATGAAGAGGATGATGAAGTAAATACAGACTAACATCCCTGGAAAAGAGGGGCCGCCATAAGCCATGATCCCATCATACATCACCGAATTCCAGTCCTCCCCGGTCAGGATCTGAATGACACATTCCCACCAATAAGGGACACAGCGTTAGACCAACAGCAAACCCCCAAACTCCCCTGCCCTGCCCTGCTTGCCCTGCCCTGTCCCACTTTGTTAACAGCAATGTCCCAAATATCATTTCAACTTTTCTTCCTTGTTCTGGCTCCCAATTAGTCTTGGGGACCACAGGCCTGGGCAAGTTAATCCCTACCACAGACATAGTGCATGGCCATTAGCATATAAAACAGCTTTGTGATCAGCACATTCTGTTGTTCTTAACAGACAGTATGAGAGATGGCCGCCATTAGTTCCCTTGGTGGCAGTACCAGCTGAATATGATCATGAGAACAGTGATTGGCTATACCCACATCTATTAAACGTAATAATTTGGTATCACCATTAAGATTTTGGCAATATAAAATATACACAGATTGTTCCCCTTTAACTATAAATAAGCCTATTTTGAAACTCAAATATATGTTATTCTAGCTGTTATATGCCTAAACATTCATGAAAGCATAACTCTGGGCCATCTGTAATTCTTCCAGTGGCAAGGATGCTGGAGAATAAAGACAGGTCCTCTATTTCCCAACAAGATCAGTCTACTCTTCTTTCTGTATTGTGTGTTCATACAGGGGTTTTTGTTTCTTTGTTTGTTTTGGTTAGTGGGTGCCAAGGCCACACAAACATTTTTAATCCGATCAATTAAACAATTAGATTGCTGCATCATTAGTCTATCCACCTATGCAGCTCCGTGGAAGGTTGAAAGACGAGAAGCAATAGAAAGACCTTCCGCGGATGATCTAGGCTGGCATTATGCCCAGTGACAGGGTACTGCTTTTACCACCCCATCTTCCCATGGCTTCTTGCCCACCTCCCACTTCACTACCCTCCCAGTGAGCATGGCAGCATCGAGTCCATACCTGAAACACAGTGAGGAGTGACTGCGGGAAGTTATCAAACGTGCTCCTGCGGGTCTGCATCTCATCAAAGTTGAACTTCCCTCCAAACAGCTGCATCCCCAGGAGGGAGAAGATGATGATGAAGAGGAAGAGGAGCAGCAGCAGGGAGGCGATGGAGCGCACTGAGTTCAGTAAGGACGCCACAAGGTTGCTCAAGGAGTTCCAGTACCTGGGGACAGACAGGAAATTCAGCTGCCTGTCCTCTGCTGCCCTCCATCAGCCCTCACCCGTGTGCCCCTGCTGGCTCTAACACAAAGTTCCATTCTCTGCTAGCCTCTCCATTCCCTTTTCTGGGTTGGGTAGTGGTGTGAATGGACTCACAATTAAGATCTGGAGCTATAAATTCAGCATCAGCAAGGAGAGAGGGCTCAGGGGCCAGACATTCCCACCCGCTCCACCAGCTGCTCATGTCCTGGCACAAAACATCCACTCCTCATCCCCTTCCTGCCTTCCTGACTGGAGAGAAGTGGAGATAACAGCAGCATGTACCTTATTAGGTAACCTGAAAGATAATTCACTCCCTCTTCTCAAGACAGTGCCCAGCATTCTGTCTGTCACACCGTTAGTTTAAGTTTATAATTATCACATTTTTTTTTTTTAGCAAAGAAAATACACTCCCTTCTCCAAGAATGCCAGTCTGAGCAGTTTGCATCAGCAGCTACCTGGGGAGATAGGAAGGGTATTACTCCTGGGAAAGAATGGGCAGAGCTTAGCGATGGCCCCAACTTTCCTGTCACAGTGGTTGGTTGTTTTGGAAATTCTGACCCTGTATCTGAGCCCAGATATCTGCAGTTTCACTAAGAACCCAAAGGATTCTGACAATTTTAGATTACAACGAACCCATCATGCTACTGAGGACAGCTCAGGCAAGAGTCCTCCAGGGAGTCTTCTGTTTACAGTTTATTAGTTCGGTGAGCACAAGGAGTAAGAACTTCTTCAGGAGCCCATCAGAGTGACACTTTTTGTAGCAGAGTCCTTACCCACAACCCAGATTATTGATTCAGCTTCACATGGCCACAGCCATCTTGAGTCTTACCCTGATAATTCCCCCAGAGTAACCCTGGGTGTTTCTTTTCCTCCTGCATAGTTTGGCAGTAAACTACAGATCTAAAACAATTAGAATGGCATGCAGGGGTTTACAATCAGACCCTAGCTCTGGAGATGCTCTCAGTTCTTTGATACTATCTTAAGACAATGGGTCCATTGTGGCGAGGATGTAGTAACTTTTGTCCTCATCCATAAACTCATCCTTTTTCTGAATCAAATTGTAGGATCCAGCTGGCCTGGCTGCCCCTCTAGACCATCCTTCCATCAGCAAGTCACCCCCAATATCAAACTGTATGCAACCACAATCTGCTTCCAGCATTTTCCTCAGTCTCTGGTGTCAGTTCTCACATGCTAGCATTGGTTGCTCTGAAAATCCCTGATGTATGCTACAGGGTCTCCTGAGGCCTGAAACTCTAGGAAAGTGCAGTGTAAGGTAAAGGACTAGGGCAAAGCAGAGCTCACCGAGAGCTGGATGGAGATCAAGGGGCTGGGCAAGGGGAAGCACTAGTTAACTATAACCCGTTTCTCCACTGCACCCTGTACCCTACCCAGCAGAGGCCAATTTGCAGGTTCCTTGCCTCACAGCAGTAAATCCCAAGGTTCCATGTTCAAAACAAATCTTGACTCCTCCCACCCCGCCATCCATCACCTTGGCCTAGCCACCAGCTTCTCTCTGGGATTTCTGGAGCAGCCTCCTACCTAGTTTCCCTGTCATGACTTGGGCTCCCCATAGCAATTCGCCATACTAGAGAAGTGAGTTCTTTGTAATGGGAGCCACACCCAGCCCCTGCTGTCCCTGATACCTGGTAGAAAACCCTGAACCCTCCTGACCTCTGGCCGGGCTCCTCCTTTGCTCTCCCTCCCTCTTTCATTCCAGCCACATGAGTCTTGCTTCTCTTCCTGCCATTTCAAGATGCTCTGCCAAATAGGTCCTTGCTCCACCAATGGCCTGCCCAGCTCTCTCAGAAGTTAGTAGAGGCTAACTCCTTTAGGTCCTTGGCCTCTGATTTCAGAGCAAGCTTCTCCAACCTGTAATTTAGCCCCTTTTCCTGTATTACCTCTTAAAATTTATATTATTGTGTGGCATGCTCTCTCTCTCAGTGTGTGTGTGTGTGTGTGTGTGTGTGTGTGTGTGTGTGTGTGTGTGACCTGTGGAGGTCACAGGATAATTTTTTGTATTCATTCTGTCCTACCTCTACATGGGTTCTGGGATTGAACCCAGGTTGTCAGCCTTGCACAGCAAGAACTTTATTCAGTGAGCTATTTGAACAGCAGCTCCTTCTATTTTTAAAGGAACAATCACCACCAGACAAATGTCTACTTCTTTGTTTACTGTTTCTTTCCCCTACCAGAATTGAGGTCCATGGGGGAGGGGAGTCACATGTGCTGTTTGGTTCCCTTATTTTCTCTCTTTTCTAAAAACATATTTCTTTATCATTTCTTTGGAATTTCACATCATGTATCTGTTCCTCGCCCCTGTAGTATGGCCCCACCAAAATATTAAAAACAAAAACAAATAAGCAACAACAAAAAACAAAACCATCTTACTTGTTCATCTATCTTTCCAATACCTCTTCGTTTATCCTGGTGGCATCAAGAGCTGCTGTTTGTCATGTAGAATGCCCTTTTGTCCAATCAGCCCCACCCAAAAAAATGTTCACTGCAATAAGTCATTGGTCTTGTTCAAGGTCTCCAACACACCGTCATCACTGGACCCTCACTGAAACTCCTAGCGGATATCTTGCTGTCTCTATTCTCTTAAGTGTGCCTGGCACACAGAAAGTGATCGTTGAGTATTTTATTGAATGAATGAATGAATGAATTGTAACACATTTGTACTTACCCAAGGGACAGGCAGTGTTTACTTTTGTGTACATATGTTGTGAGATAGGAGCAGAGATAAGGGTAGAAGGATATGAATTTGGAAGCAGGGAGGTCTGGAAAGTGTCAGGGGAGAAGAAGGAGGCAATTATGAAACAAATACATTCAATACATGTATGCAATTCTCAAAGAATTAATAAAACATTATATTAAAACAAAATTAAAATGTGATTTTAAACAACAGGACACTAGTGTGTTTCTGAGGTGAGGGAGCTGGCTGTCTGAGCTCCACATGCCACAGATGACAGTGGGCGGTGGTTTCCACCTTGGGCAATATGGTGACATCTGTAGGTACTCAGCTAGTAGCACTGGCAGTACAGGTGACACCGTCAGGCCTGCAAAGCCTCTCAATCTAGTCTCAAGGCTATCACTGCTAAACACAGGACTACAGCCCCCTCCCCAGATCCACCGTCCTTTTCAGGAAGCTAGCTGGTGCTAAGCCTGAAGGTTTAACGACATCATCAGCCTTTATCCTAACTGATCAAAACCATGACATACACAGCCTCACACACCAGCACAGAGAGTGTTGGAGAGCAAATGCTCAGGCCTCTAGCTGGAGACCTCACAGAAAACCTGGGAGACCTAAACATCTGTGGTCAGGAGGCCACACAGTACCGCTGGGACCCCCAGGCCCTCTGTTCCACCATTCCATATCCGTGTTCCTCTTACTGCACCATCCTCTCCAATCTGTGTTCCTGCCTACCTGTCCCTATCCACCGCCTCAACTGTGGTACACTCGAGGGACTCTGACCCACATGAGTTCCCTTCTACCTAGCCCTCCCCTCTCCCTCCTCTCTGCTCTGCCTCATTTGACTTCAGTTTTTCACTCACTGACCATCCATTCTTTTTTTCGGGTTGACTCAATACCCTCTGTTCAGGGACACTTTGTCACTGTCTCTTTCCCCTCTACACATCCGTTTCGGGATCAGGGCTTCTGTAGAATTCTCCTTTCTCATTTTCAATGATCTGAGACTTTGCAGAACCTTTCAGTTCAGAAATCTTTTGCTTCAAAGAAGCTTGGGGCCAGCCCTTTACCTTCATGTTGGTGTCAAACAGCCCTGCACTTGCTATAAATAAAAGATGGCGGAAACAACAGGACTAACTGCTGGGGATGCCTCACAGTGCTCCATCCACCCTACTCCTGTTCCAGAGACGGTCATCACTGAAGGTCCCCTGCCAACCATTCTTATGCTGGGCTGTGAAATGTTCTCTTGGTTTGGTGGAAAGTTATCTATTGCTGAAATAGTGTTTGTAAATGGATTCTCACACAGTAAGTTTGTGTACTATGACACTTTGGGACAGAAGAAAAGAAAAAGAAGGGATGAGAATCAAGTAATACAATATGGGGGCCAGAATATATGCAGTGAACAAGCATTGCGCCTGCTACAGGGACCCCAGCAGTGGGCATCCTTGGCCCAACTGCAGTGAATTTGAGCCTGGACCTGGAGGATGCAGCAGACTCTGGGGGTATTTGTGTAACAGGAATACAAAATGCTGTGTGGTTGGTCAGAAGGAGCTATAAGGAATTCTAGACTGTCTTGGTTAGGGGCCCAAGGCACAGCTCCTTCTACCTGTCTCTGTCCTCTCCATCCTGTATGAAGATTATGACTTGGTGAAGATATAGAGATTGCCTGGTCTTGACCTTGGGATGGCTTTGGGAAGGTGCTTCTTTGAGTTTCTAGACCAGAGGTGCTCAGCACTACCTAACGCCCCCTCCCCAAAATCATAAATGTGATGGGGTTTGAGAGGAGGCACATTCAAATAATCCTTAGGGAATCTGCTTAAACCCCTAGGGGTGACAGATACCACCCCATAGAGTAACTTCCCTTCCTGCCCAAAAGACAGCATGTGGCTCCTGGGTCTGAGCATCTTCACAAATACCAAACTCTTGGTTTTTTTTTTTTTTTTTTTTTTTTTTGGTGGCCTTAAAGGATGTGAGAGGCTCTACGGGCTCCTGAGCAGAGGGCTTTAGAAGGTAGCAAAGAGCTGGGAGGATTAAGAGTTGTGTATAGGTCGCTTAGAATTTAGCTGTAAGTTCAACCAATCAAAATACTAGTGGAAATTACTTTAGAGAAAGTAAGTTGAAAACACTTGAAACCAAGCATGATGGCACACACTTGCAATCTCAGTACTTAGGCTAAAGTAGGAGGGTTGTGAGCTCCAGGCTAGTTTGAGCTATGAGGTCAAACCCTGTTTCAAAATCTGACAAAAACCCACTTGAGACACCATAAGAAGATTTAT